GCTGGACTCGAGCCGCTGAAGCGTCGACCATTTCTGGCCAGCAACTTTCAGCGTCATTAAGCCACTGCGCCACCGCGTATGTATTGTCAGGGTATAAAGGAATATAGAACTGATTTTGGGGAAGTAATGAGAGAGCTGTTTAAGAGGGGAAAGAAGGAGACAACTGTTGGGGACATTGAGAAAAGATTACACAGTCCTTAGAGGGAAGCATGAGAAAGAAACTCAAAATAAGCCCACCTTGATTTTGTTTAGTATAAGATGGGATAGAGAGAAACTTGGACAAACTTTTAAGATTTATGTCAGCCCTTTGAGGTAGGTCAGGTCAAGAAACTGGCAGAGATTCCAGGAATGTTCTTTATCATAGTAAGGTAGAATAACAGAATCTTGAAAGATTTGGTCATTTGGACTGTGGAATCTTTTCTCAAAGTCCCTTCTAATGGTGCTATCTTATCTCCCCCAAGGTCTGCTCTACATTCCTTTACCCAAGGCATATATTTTGTTTCCTTGACTAGAAGCTAAAGACAGTGAATAGGAGATAAATTTATACCGGTAACCTAGATCTATAAAGTCCCAATGCTTAAGTGCCATGAGATGTGAACTTTAGAAAATGGGTTAGAAAATGTATGAATTCATAGGTAAAGATTAAAAGATATTCAAAGACAATTCAAAGATAATTCATAATAAAGAGAATTATAGATTTATCTGTAATTCATATCTCTTTATAATTCAAAGATAATTCATAATTCAATCTTATTCAAAGACAAAACTTACCATCATGTATCAGATACTTTTACCTAATAGCATTCTTGTTGTAGAACCTTATTTAATATTTTCCATTCATATTTTCTGTTACTTTCAATTTCACAACTACACAGATGACATATTTTAGCATGTATAGCTGTGTGAATGTGGCTACAGTTGCTTTGTATTATTCCACAGGAGGGTCAGGAAAATGTGGAAATCTTGCCATCTGGAGAGCGACAACAGGCAAATCAAAAGCGGATCACTACTCCTTACATGACCAAATACGAGCGGGCCAGAGTTCTTGGTACCCGTGCCCTCCAGATAGCGTAAATATATATAAATATATGTATATTCATACTTATTTAGTTATTTATCTTTTTATACTAATGATTGTCTGAGGGCTTTTCCAGCCTTCAGCTGTTTGTCTCCAATGCATAATGAAATCTCTGCAGATTTCCACCCCTTCTTCCACTTTGCCACAGTGATGGCTCGATATTCTATCTAGACCTCAGTTAACACAGCCCCTGGTTGGTGGATTCCTCTGCTTCTTTTCCCTCCTGCCCACGCTAGAAAAACAGGCATCTGTTGCTTTCCCTTCTGTGGGCATGTCTTTTGAGGACTGGTGGCACACACTGGTGAACTGGAATGGGGACATTTGTGTAGGATGGAATGAAGCACAGCAGGTGCACCATCACACAGCACCAAAAAATGCAGGTGTCTGTCACCTTCTCAGCAGGCTAGTGATGGCCCTAGGATGACATCATCTATTGCTGCCTTCATGAAACAGTGAGTGGACTGTCCTCTTGCTGGGATAAACAGGAAGTTTGGATCCAGCTTAAATCTTTCAGTGTACAATAAAAACAAAAAAATAAAGGTATTAAAGTAGAAAATTAAAATTATCAGTTCAAATCTTTTCAGAAAGATATGTCTTTAATGCAAAAAGGTCATTCCCCACAAATGAGTAGGAGGTGGATCCCAGAGACCCAGCAGTTGCAAAGAAGGCTGATCCTCAAGTTGCCTTAAGGCAAAGTTGAAACAACTATAGGCAAACCTCCTCAGAGGACTGCAGTGACTTTGCATATCTTAATATAATTTAAGGTATGTATTCTTGCATGTATCTGCAATTGGGGCTGCACTGGATGTGTACTTCGGATTAGATAGGAGGAAAACCTCTTTTTACTTTTTAAAGAAATGTTTTTCCTTTGCTTAAATAATTTATTAATGCCAGTTGCTGCATCAGTGAACTATTTTGCTATAGGCTCATGCAAAATCTGGGCCTATAGCAGCTTCCAATAGCTGGAGCTATACTTCAGAAATGGCTCTTTGGCAGAGAATGCATTTAAATTATTAGTCAAGTATCATTAGAAATAGAGCATTGGTTGTTTTAAATGTTATGATGGTGTACGTGGCTTTCAGAGTTCATACAGGCAAATATATGAACAATGGGAGAGGGAATGCTGCTAGGAGAATGTTCCTATCCTGCATCCAAGAATTGGGCAATAGAATGGTTAGAGAAGGAAAACTTTAGGATGAGTAACTGAAAACAAGAGGTCCATATATAGGACTTCACTTTGGGGTCACACAATGTCTTTCTTTTCCACATTCTGAAGGTGCTAGACAGGAAAGTTTTACTTTCTTTGCTGAAAACTAAATATTTAGAAGAATTGGCCAGTAAAAGCAGATAGATGTATCATTATCCAATATGTTCCCATTATTGCTCCAGAAAGGAATGTAGTACTCTTGAGCATTTTTGAAACAACTTAACAGGTTTAACAAGGCAAAACCTTACAGGTTGTCCTCACTTACCAACTGCATGTTCAGAGACCTTTTGAAGTTACGATAGCACTGAAAAAGTAGGTTTATGAACAGAGCTCAAACTTACGATGGTCACATTGTCCCTGCAGTCATGTGATTGCAATTTGAGTGCTTGGCAACCAGTGTGTGTTTGCAATGGTTGCAGCATCCCCTGGTCACGTGATCGCCATTTGTAACCATCACAGCCAGCTTCTGACAAGCGAAATCATTGGAGAAGCTGGCAGTAAATCGCAAGTCACAGTGACATGATGTCTTACCTAATGACTATGGGTGATTCACTTAATGACTGCAGCCAGAGCTGATGTCGTAAGTTGGGTGCAGTCACATGATATTTCACTTTATGACCACGTCACTTAGCAATGGAGTTGCCAGTCCCAATTGGGGTCAGTAAGTGAGGACTACCTATATATTATAAGGTTACATGCCCCTAGCTCCTTATATCCCTTAGTTCTGTAGAAATCGCATGATAGAGAGTTGCTTTGAGAAGCCAACTGAGACTAGTTTGCTAGATGTATATAACAATAAAGTCCATGTGTGACAATTAAGTCTCCCCTTATTTTTATTTTTGTATTTTAAATATTTTTATTCTATTTTCATGCCCAAAATAGCTACACTTTCCCAACTTCTGTATACAATTTACAATTAATTTACAATTAATTTGAACATTTTATTATTGAAATATTGAAATATATCTACCAAATAACAAAGAGCCAGTTTGGTGTAGTGGTTAAGGTACCAGGCTAGAAACTGGGAGATGGTGAGTTCTTGTCCTACCTTAGGCACAAAGCCAGCTGGGTGACCTTGGGCCAGTCACTCTCTCTCAGCCCTAGGAAGCAGGCAGTGGCAAACCACTTTTGAAAAACCTTGCCAAGAAAACTGCAAGGACTATCCAGGCAGTTGCCAGGAGTCAAGACTGACTTGAAAGCGCAAACAAAATAAAGCAAAATGATGATATTTAAAATGTCAGAAAGCAGAAATTATAGCACAGGTTCAGAAGAGTAAAAACTCCAGGCAAATTAGAAGTTTGACAAGAAAACAAATGGTGTATCTTACTCTCATCTAACTGGATAGCTTTTAATATCTACTGCTTACCCCTGTTGCAGCAGCAGTTCTTAAATCTTTTCTTCCCCTCAGCATGTGTGCCCCAGTGATGGTAGAGCTTGAAGGAGAAACAGATCCCTTGCTGATTGCAATGAAAGAACTAAAGTAAGTTGAGAAGATTTATCCATGTGCAGGTGTGCATAAACTGTCCCATCTCTAATTGGATTTAGGCATTCTGTTTTAATGGACAATCAAGGCAAAAGAGGTTGTATGGTGAACATGCTAGTTTTGCTCTTCCTGTTGTCCTTCTGGTTGTCCTTCTTAAGGTTGAGGGAATTACTTCTACAGCCTAAAAGCTTGCTTACATGTATTGGTTCCACATACAGTTTAAAACCATGATTTTTAGGACACTGAATTATGTGAGGAGTCTCTCCAAATAGAAAAGGTTTACTGCTACAGCTGTTTGTCCTACAACTTGTAGGTGACAAAAAGAGCAATTATGGGGGGGGGGAGAGTTAGTTAATTCACCTTCATTTGTTGTTTTTGTGCACAAGTAAAATATCTGAATAGAGCTTCTGTTGCCCAATAAGAGAAAGACTTATATAAAATTATTCTTGACTTGATGTAAAAAAGAGTGTTCCATTTTGTAGGTGCCTTTATATTTCTAAGTAGAGGTAATACTGTTGTTATTTGCATAGGAATAAAATACTAATTATAAAAAAATAGTATTTTTATAATTTATTTTTTGTAACATTCTCAGTATTGTAATTTTTCCAGGTGCATTACATAAAAGGTTTTGAATAGTTTTATGGTTTGTTGCCCTGCCATGTCTGTTTTTTCCCATAGAAATATAATCAATAGATGTTTTCCCTTTTCTCACCATTGAAATGTTTCTGATTGTTTTTTTGAAACAAGACCAGTACTAATCAGTATTCAGAGCTTAAATAGATAATTAATAATTTGGTTTCTTTTTTTTTAAGCATTTATAAGCTTCACTGGTAGAGAGCTATAATGTCAGATGTTACATTATGTAGAAACTGGAAAAAAGTGCCAGTGAACTGTACTCCTGTTATAATAGCTTTGCCATTCCTGAGTTCCCATTACAGCAGTGCTTCCCAAACCTGGGTAAATTACCCAAAATTGGGTAAAAGTGGTTTTTGTTTAGGTAACAACACATGAACCCGTTACCCATCACAACAGGGACGTTTAAATTGACTTAAAGATTGCTACATGTACTAAAATATATTTGAAAATCTCCCAAAGTATTCCTGTTAAGATGAAAATCGATGGAATTACCAGTGGTAATTTGTTGAAATGGCATAAAGGTCATTCAGTGATACTGTTTTTATAATACAGGTAGTCTTCGAGTTATGACCATTCGTTCAGTGACCGTTCAAAGTTACAGTGGTGCTGAAGGAAGGGACTTACGGCCGGTCCTCAAACTTCCGGCTGTTGCAGCACCCCTGCGATCACATGAACAAAATTCGGGTGCTTGGCAACCAATTGCAGCATCCCGTGATCACGTGATCACCATTTGAAACCTTCCCTTCTGGTTTCCCACAAGCAAAGTCAATGGGGAAGCTGGAAGGGGAGGTTGCAAGTTCCTTGGGTAAGTCTCCCCCACTGACCGGCCTTTCTTCGCTCACACGCACCACACCCTCTTTCCCCCCCTCGCTCGCACACACCCACCAGCACCCTCCTTCTAATAAGCAGTTTTGGGTAATGAAGGAAAAAGTTTGGGAAGCGCTGCATTACAGCAAGAAAGACAATAAGCCAGTACTTCTTCTTTCTTCACATTTGGCTCACACTGTGCACGTAATGCAAGATTTGTACCTTATTTCATGGAAATGAGTTTATAAGCCCAAATATTAATTTAACTAAACTTGTTTTAACGTTTATTTGAGCTGTGTGGAAGCTGTAACTAGTACCGCCAATGCAAAAACATAATATGAGAATTTCCATCAAAATTCTATACTGCTTATGGCTTCAGAACCACTATAATGAACTCCTGTAACTTTTTAAAAAGATGTTTGTGCTTTTTATTTTTCATGTATTGAAGATTATAAGCCTGATGTCCTGGACAAATTCCAAGCTGGCTAATTACATTGCTGACCTAAAAAGTCTTATTTAGATTAAACTGGATTTAAATTTCTTTCCTTCTGGATCCAAGTTGTTCAGTTTGCCAAGAGATTTTAATAGTTTATGTATTCCACTCAGAGCATTTCTGCGGTTGATGGAATTACACTGTATGAACGCTTTACACACAGTTAAACAATGTGTAGTAGAAAGGGCCATTTGTGTGACCCCAGTATGGTCTTTGTACAGTACAGTCGTCTCCCTGTCTCTTAGGAAATTTCCATGGAAAATTGAGATCCAGAAGTCCAACACTCAGATTATCTCCTGCTTAATTTCAGGAAGTAGGAAGGAACAGTTAATGATTTTCTGGGGGAGAATTTTTAGATTTGTTTTTGGAAGCTTTCAAATGTTTTATTACTTCAGTGGAGCTCCACTGAATAAGAATGATTTAGGTGAAGTGTCCTTGACTACAAATTTATGTTTTCCTCCTCCAGAGCTCGGAAGATTCCTATAATTATCCGCAGGTACCTTCCAGACGGAAGTTATGAAGACTGGGGTGTAGATGAACTAATTATCACAGATTAAATCTCTTCTTTTCTGTGCTCCAACTCCAATTTTTATGGAATACACACATGTATATATAGTTTTTGTGTAAATAAATACTAAAATCCCACTGTAAATGTCTTGGATGTTTCCCTTTTACACAGAATAATGGTAAGGAAAACTGATCGTTTGCCTGTTTTGCTCTCTTTCTTTCTCTCTTTTTAGTGCTTTTACAGGTCAGTCTTCCATTGTTTTGAAGACCCAGTGGATTTCGTTCTGTTGTTGCCTTTGCAGAGCAAAGTGAGGTACCTGCTGCCTTTGAAATGCTATATATGTAAACTAGGAGTGGGGCGCAAGAGAAGTTTCCTCAGTGTTGTATCTCATCATCATGTTATACGCAAGTGATTTTAAAGTGATCCTGCAGCTGCCAAGCTTCCAGATGCCCTTTAAGACAACTGAAAGACCCCTTTGCCTTCGACCTACGCTTTTTTCCAGGGGCCTGTAGTAGAGGAGGCATTTCTGTTGCTTGCTAACAAACAGACATGCCTTTGTGCCCGGGAACAAGTTGCCTTGGAAACCCCCAATTTCCCCTCTGATCAAGGCTGGCTCTCTGGGCTTCTCAGGAGTATCACAGAGCAACTCTCATCAAATCTTCCATTGTTTCTTTTCCTGCCCTGACTTCTTATCTATCAACAGGATCCCCTTACAGTGGGCTGTTCTACAGCAAAAAGCATCGTTGCCTTGATGAGCTACCTAGTGAGAGTCAGCTTGACATCTGTAATCTATGCTTTATGGTACCTGTGTATCAGTCCACTTCTTTCCCACCCTATCAGTCATAGCCTTACTGTAAGTGCACGTTCGTGTTGTGAAGAATTATATGCATTCCTAAAATGGCAGGAGAAGTTTTAAACTTACATAAAGAAGCAATCTGTATTGTAAAATAAACCTCCAAATCTGTTGTGTCACTCTAAAGGTAAAAGACAACATTTTAAAAATATTTATTCTTGCAATGATAGGTAAACAATTTGTATACTTCTAAAGAAATCTTTGCTTTCTGCAACAAACTTTTTTTTTTTGAACCTTATAGACCAAATGTATGGTCAGCCTTTATTATTTCTAAAAAAAATCAGTAGAGATTTTTTTTTAATATAACCTACAAAGGCTTTGTAAGCATCATTCCTATAACTTATGTGTGTTGTCCAAAAAAGCTTTTCTTAAGATGCAGATTACCTTGCTTTTGGCCCTTGATGCAAACCTCTCCTTAATGCAGGGTTTCTTAAAATGCAATTTCTTATAATGCAAGCTCTTTTTAAAAATATCACGACTGCTTTTTGTATGCAGCGTTCAATCCCATACACTTGTTTCAGATGTGGGTTTTTGTAAGTTTTGGGAGAGAAACTAAAGCTAACCAGACTCTGATGACAGCCTTCCTGCTGGAATATCCAGATATTCTCCCACTGGAATCTCTGTCAAAATTCTTTTATGACTCTACTTTATGCCCAGCACACTGCTGCTGAAGGGGCACATAGGTCTTGCCCCAGATCTGAGCTGATTTTTCCAGTGAGTTTGTGAAATTAGGGCAAAGGGTGCATGCAGTCCTATGGCTTCAGATTACCTATTCTTCCCTTTCTGTGCGTATATACACATACACACATGCACATATACACAGGTATATGCAAATGAAATGTAAAGATGGGAATAGTTATTTTTTTTTTAAAGGGAGTTGTTTTAGAAAGAACTTTGTGAAATGGAAGTTAACAGAATATAAACTATCAACAGAAAAGGGCACTGAAACCACGAGGAATGTGTTGTGTTTGCTCACAACTATGCCAATAATAGGTTAATCTGCAGAGTTATAACTTACAAATCTCCTTGGCCTCCCCACTCCCTCTGGCGTTTAATCACGTTTGTGTGATGAAATTTCAGTAATGAAATGTGTCTTTGTGTGATAGTTTTGGCATCCACAATGGAGCGCAGGAGTCGTTCTCCTGGTCCTCTTTTTTTTTTTTTTTTTAAAAAGCTTCTTTGTTTTAATACTCTTCCTTCCCCATCCCCCTAGCTCAATCCTTGCATCTACATCAGATACAGTTAAAGGGATAGCAAGGGCTCTAGGCCAGCTCCCGCCAGACTGGTAGGGGAATGAGCAGTCCCTTTGTGTCCAGTGTGGAAACTGGTAGATGCTGGATCGTACTTTTGTTCTTAAGATAGAAACATGGCAGTTGGCATTAATTCCTGCAATTTATTGGCTAAGAAAGCACATCACCTCTTCATAACCAGCCTTCCTTCTGTGGAAGTTTAGGGAGCACTTCAAGTAAGCTGGAAGGATCTCTTTCCACCAGCTTTACTTTTGTCCCTTAGGTGTGGTTCTTTATACCCTTCAGCTGTGGCAATCTCCCTATTGGTCATATAGATCATATATTTCCAGGTCTTAGCTGTGCTCCCCTAGAGCTATTACAAAAGTTCTTTTGGCTATCCCCCCCAACTTTGGTGATGAGTTTTCCCATTAGTTTTTTCTTTATTCTCAATCAGCTTCCTCCAAACTGGGCATTCTCCTGATGTGTGAACTTTAGCTCTTAGAATTTTCAGCAAAGGCTATGCCAGCTGGAGAATTGTGAATGTTGACTCACCTATTTTTGGGAGGACGCTAGGGTGAAGACAACCACTCATCTTTGCCTTTGCTTGTATTTCCAAAGGGCAGCTGTTTTAATTTAGAGTATTGCATCAAAAACCAGAACTCTTTAGTAGGGTTTGTTTCAAGGGGTAAATTTGTAGAACAAGAGAGGGCCTTTTGAGTGGTGACCCCCTCTCTTTGGACTACTGTCTCCACTGATTTTCACTTTGTGCTAGTGCTGGTATCATTTCCTTCAGATATAAACTTACTATTTGCACAGGCATTTCAAAATCTTAAAATGGAGTCAAACATACTTGCTTTAGTATTTTTTTACTGTATTGTTATTTGTTTTATTATTTTACCATATTGCATTAGTAGCTTTTTTTACTCTTTTTGCCTTTCCAGTATATCAGTGTTTCTCAACCTCAGCAACTTTAAGATGTATGGACTTCAACTCCCAGAATTCCCCCAGCCAGCATGTATATCATTCTTTCAGTGCTTTCACGCTTAAATAATTATCTACCATCAAAAGTTTTTGCCAGAGTAAGCCAAGCTTCACCCTTTTCTGTGAGTCAGTTCCCTCTTATCGAATATAAAGATGTCCACATAGAAGAAGTTGGGTTCTGCTCTTTCTCATTCCAGAATGCAGGACACAGAATAATGGGTTGAAGTTAATAGGAAGGCAGATGCCTTTTCTATCAGTAACAGCAGTTCAGCAAAGAAACATGCTATTTAGAGAAGGTGGATTCCTCTTCACTGAATGTATTTAAATGAAGATTGGAAACCATCTGTCTGGGATGCTTTAATTTGGATTCCTTCACTGGAGGTTGGACTCAGAGGGTCCATGTACTCCATTCCAATTCTGTGATTCTATTATTCTAGTCTTCAGGATTTGTAGTAAGATAATGAAGAAAGAAGCTATGGCTGTTCTTACCTAAAATTAAGGATATCTTAAGTTAGTTCATTGGTCAACTGAAGAAAGGTAATTGTATTGATCTTACCACTTTCCTATTGACTTTCTCTTGTTACTTCCCTTTACCTAGGGATGCTCAACGAAGATTGCTTAGTGATCATTGAGTCATTTGGTTAAATAACTACTAGTGCCATGGGGGATGGAGAGATTTTGCAATGGCTCCTTTAATATGGTTAATATTATCCTCTCCTGTTTGTGTGTTTTTTTATAGTTTTTATAGTTTTAATGATTGTTTTTATATGTATTTACGGGTTTTTAATTGAGTGTAGTACGCTGCCCAGAGTCACTCTTCTGTGAGATGGGTGTCTATATAATTATGATCAATCAATCAATAAATGTATGGCACAAGTTCTGGGCAGACATTTAAACAGAGTCCAAGAGCCAAAAATTTCCATCAAAGACAGTAGAGATAATGTCAGGCCAAATGCACAAGCCACCCACCACTACATTTTTCATGTACCCTGACACAGAATAAGTCAAAATGCACCCTGCTATGCAAAATATGACAGTTTCTGATTTTTAGGTGTCTTCTGGCTATGTATCTCCTTTTCTTACCTTGTACCCCTTGGTTTGGTACGATGATATTTCAGACTGAAAAATGTAACTTCTATTCACTATCTTGGAAATCTTGTGGAATGGTACCTACTTAAGAAATCAGGAGGGATCAGTTGGTTTCAAGGATACTGTGGAAGCTTGAAAGTCCATTTTTGTAATTTCCAATAGAAATGGCAATAATGGAGATGAAAGAAATTGCTAAAGCGATTTCACAGAGGAGTATATGTAGAGGTAGAAATATTTTTTTGCTGGCTGATGAGGAAGGCACACTCTTTCTCCCAGGTAAGAGTTGCAAGTCAAGTGTGATGTTGAATTAGATGGGAAAACTGAATTAGAATAAAATTATTCTAATCTCACTGTCAAAATACATTTAGAATTTGAAATTACACAGTAAACATGTTCAGCTGCATCACAAAAAGAACCCCTGATTAATGTGATGCAATTAATTTATAGAATGTATTCCCACAAAAACAATAAGTCCCTTTTCAGAAGGATTAGATACAGTTCTGTGGAATGGACCTATCAACTGCAATTATCCTTGGAAATTAAAGATGTCACCCCATATTCAGAGGCAACTGACTTTAGATTAGCAGATGCAGTGAAAGAGCTAGAAAACATGACTATCATCCCCATCACGCCCTGCTTGTGAACATCGCAATTGGATTTAACAGACAACCATGGAGCTGGAAAAATACAGTAAAAAAGTATGCTTGGAATTTTTAATTAGAAAGACCAACCATCCTCACCTGGTCCACTGCTGTGTGAAAAAAATGGGAATTGTAGTCCTGACACAGAATACCAGGTGTAAAAGACTAAGTTGACCTATTAATAATGTGTAGGGAGAAATCTATGGATAAGAAGGTTATATGTAGTGTATGTAATGGATGACATGAGCGGGGAGGATTCTGGAATGGAAGTTCAAGGTTGTCAGGAGAAGGGAGAGACATTCCAGACCAAGCGCCTCCTTAGCCCGCAACAAGAAGAGTGTGGGAAGACGAAGAGGATGAGGTTGGCCCCTCCCTAGAGTCTCATGGGATACATCCACTAGTTCATTAGCATAGGTTTAGTCTGGTGAGACTCTGTCTATTAGGTGCAAGCTAATAAAGGAACTGAAGTGTATTGGATTGCCTTGTTGTTGTTCTTGGGCTGAACCTGACATGTACTAGGCTTTTTTTTCTCACTCAGCCAATTTTGGAGGGGTATGAGGTAGAGCATAGACAAAAATAGGAAACACGCATCGACACACATAGCTAAAACATTTTAAGTTTATTACTCCATACATTTGATGCAAAGTTAATGATGCTAGGACAACTTAGGTTTGTAGCATTGGGGACAGGGAAAGATGTGCTACTGCATAAATAAGGGTGCATAGCAGTTAATAGATTATAAGGGATACAGCCATACTACATGTTCTTTTCAATACCATAGAGAAGAGATAATTATCCATAGCTGAACATGGAAGTAAGCATATATAAGTTCATAACTTGGGGCAGGCAAGCCTCCGCTGTCTCAGTCTAAAGGTGCTGGGAAGAACAAGGTGTAACCGCAGCATACAATAGTAGAGCCAGTAATGGGCTTTTCTCGTACTTGCATAGCATCTGTTGTTTCTAGTGCATTCATGCCTTCATGCTTTTACATTATGGCCAAAAGGCAAGGTAACACAGTCCTCTGTACATAGCAGATTTTGCTGAATGATTGAAAGGCAACAAATGGCCAGTGAGTGTTTTTACTATCTTTTTGCCATCCCTGGATACCATTTGAACATTCTGCCTCCGGCACCCAAACATCTTGAGATGTCTCATGAAACGATAAGATTACATTAGTTAATGCTATGATAAAATGCCATGCCAATTTTGTTCTCTAATTAAGCACATAGAAAAAACCACATTGACTCGCTTCCTTTCCTCAATTTCCCTGCACCCACATATACACACTCATACATAGAAAACACATTCATAAGCATGCCAGAAGAAAAAACATTGGCTTTGGCAGGATATCTTTTTGTCTATTAGAAAGATAGTTGGGGAAGTTAGAAGGGAACCATGAAGTATTGGGAACAGACTAGGAATACAAAATGTTCATTACCAAGAAGGAGAATTCAGTCTGCTTTGCCATTTATGGTCCAGGGACCAACATGTGTGCGCACATACATGCACTTACATGCAAAGGTGGCCAAATCATATAATACAGTTCCTGAGTCCAATGTACTGTGTAATTAAGTCTTAAGAGAGCCGGCAGCAGAGAGGCGATGGAATAGATAGGCGGAAACAGAGATGCCAAGTATCAACAGGAAAAGCAAGCACAGGGTGGTCTTCCAATGGAGAACTAAATTTCATGCATGTGCAACTCTGAAGCAGGAGTGTCCTAGAGCTCTGTCCACATCAGCTGCACCACTGCATCTCTTCTGTAACATATCCACCACCAGTGTGCCCAGCTCTAGCCATAATTTACCCACAGCATGTGGCAAAGTTATGGTTATGGGTTTCTTTCTTAAAGTATCAGACTGATGGTTTGGACAGCTTGAGGGTGGGGGAAGAGAAGGGAGGAATTATCTCTCAATTTTATTCTTCTTGTTATTACTTTAAACCCTCAATCTGCCTTACAAAAACCAGCCGTGACTTGTTGCTCCATGCCTAGAATCACCCTCCTTTAGAAGGCCTATGGGATCTTGAAAGCCACTCAGGGACTGGGAGTATGGGGGGTGGTTGGGAACCTTCCTCCAGCCAGGTGAGCCATCGATAACTGTGGTGATGATAGACATCCCCGGATATTCTGTGAGTTCTGGCGACTGGATGACACCAAAAGACCTTGGAACTTGGAGGCTCATCTTCTGGGGCTGATTCTTTGGAGCCTTTCCGCTGCTGCTTTGGTCACTGCTCCCCATTCCCTAGGGTCTTGAGAGGGTTGTATACACAGGCTGTTCCCAGTGTGTGGGACTGTGGGACTGTGGCACTGAAGGGGCTGGGTCAGAGATGGCAGTGTACAGAGGACGCTGGGAGGGCCCCATATATGAGAAGGCCGAGTAGAGACCAGAAGCCTGACTAGAGTGGCTGTAATAGGGTCCTGAAGGTTGGTGATCAGGGTAGTCAAACTGGGGCCTGGATATAGAGGGAAAAGCTGAGCCATAGTGGGGCAGACTGAGGGATGTGTAAGCTAACTGGGAAGTGGAGGGTTGGTCAGTATAATGACCCCCAGGAGTAGAGCCCTCTGTTTTCACTTGTGTCTTCGAATCTACCACCGAGGATGTGGCAGCAGACAAAGAGACTCCATGCTGCTTGGAGATCCAGGCAGAGTGTCCACTGGCTGCAGCCAGGGCACTGCCAAGGCCATAGCCAGCAGCTGTGGCATAACCCCCCACATGGCCTGGGTGAGCAGCGTGTCCATTTGGTGGAAGATATTGGTCAAACTCGTTGACATCAAAGGGCTCCATATTGGACATCACTTCATGGCTGATCTCCCCGATATCCACATTGCCAAAGTCGATGTGAGGCTTTCCTCCTTCCCCAAGGGAACGCCCATCCCGTTTGGAGTCAGCCTTACCCGTCTGGAGTTCTGTCTTCGGAGTAGTTGGTGGTGTGGGAGGTCCATGGCTCTGACCTGTGAGGTTGACATCACAAAAGAGGGAAGAGAGAGAGAGAGTATGTAAACTTTTTACTTCATATAAACCTGACTTTCATAAAAACATTATGTTTGGGTTGGATCATTTCCAGGTTACCATAGAATTGGCCTCCATGAACATGAAACACGACAAACCAGTATCTCAGTTAACTTTTTTACCTTCCTTACACAGACCGTTTAGTCATTTATTTGTTTGTTTTACTTGATTTAGGCACTGCCTGACTTGGGGTGGCTTCACAGAGCTTCCAGTAAAAAGGCAAAAAGAAAGCTGGTAATCAGTAAAAAGCACAATTGAAAGATGTAACACATTCCATGGGCTGTGGCAATTGTGGTACTCACTCTTACGTTGTGATACTCATCTGTACCAATTCAACTAAGTGTTCAGTTTTATCAGAAAAATGAATGGTGGTTTTCATGATGCTGCTCTACTATGTTTAGACAGTTGGTGATTTACTGAACAACTGGAGTCATTCAGATTGCTCTGGATCTGACTCCCGGTTTAATTTATAGGACTAACCTGAAGAGTGTTCAGGGTGTCCATCAGACAAGGGAGATCCTTCTCCAGGGTGCCTATGGTCCAAATGGGCATTCTTATAGTGGGCTTGGATAGCTGCAGCTCCACCAGCTTCCCCATCAGCCTGGCCATCATTTTCTCCCTGGGCAGCCTTGCCATTTTTCCGACGCCGTGGTTGGTACTTATAATCAGGGTGGTCCTTCTTGTGCTGCATCCTTAGCCGCTCTGCTTCTTCAATGAAAGGTCGTTTGTCACTTTCATTCAATAATCTTAAAGAGATGGGAGAGATTTGAGAGCAGGAAGAAAAACGAGAGACCAGTGAGTTAAAAGGGGAACTATAAATCATCAGGATCATATCAATTGATAATACAAACCCATTAATGATTGTCAGACACAGCATTACAGATGGGAAAGAAGAACAGCAAAGATGAAATGCTCTACCATGACTCTGAAAAGAGATTGTTCAATGGAACACTGAGGAGCTTTAAGATAGTCAGCGATGCTACCAGATACATCGTCAGCTATTTCTTTTTGAGCTCAGCAAGAATTCTACACTCAGCTAGTCAATTATCTGTCTCATATCATGAACAGATTACAATTTAGCACATCAGCAAAGTTTTTTGCCATAATCACGCTTCTACCTAAAATTAATTGGTATGAACAAATGTAAACAGTCATGTATTTTATTCAGCTGAGAACCAGTTTGGTGTAGTGGTTACAGGCACTGGGCTAGAAACCAGGAGTTCTAATCCTGCCTTAGGCACAAAGCCAACTGGGTGACTTTGGGCCAGTCTCTCTCTCTCTCTCAGCCATAGAAAGAAGGCAGTGGTAAACTACTTCCAAAAATCTTGCCAAGAAAACTGCAGGGACTTGTCCAGGCAGTTGCCAGGAGTCAAGACTGACTTGAAGGCACACAGACACAAAAAGCACATTTGCTGTATGTTTTTCTACTGACCTACCAAGACTTTGTAATGTGTAAAGTTTTTATTTAGGAGAATTGTTTAAAAAATTTGTGGTCAGTTTCACTGATAAGGAACAGAAAGTTGTTCCTCAAAGGTTGTATAAGTGGGAAAATTTTACATCATACACTTGTAAAAATTCTAGTCTTTCTGTAATAAGGTGTTTCTTTCCATTGGTCAAGCTACATCACATAGTATATTAAATCTGTAACATGCATTTGCTGTAGCAGCTTTATTTTTCAGACTGAGGCCATCATACATTGGGTGGGTGATATCTTTATCTTTAGGTGCCTTCTTCAAAAAATCCTCAGACACTGTGTAAATGGAATATTGTTGTTTTTAAATGTCATTTATAACCCCCCTTAAAAGTCCCATACATGTGCAGGATCATGTTTTACTTATTATAAACGGGGGGTGGGGGGGAAGTATAAACTTTTGCTACCCAGCAATATGATCCCAAATATACACTGGGCTACTGCAAGTTTTTTGTAAAGTACAGAAACTACCTCTTTAACACATTCTGGAGTTTGCCTCTTAGTGGGGATTGCCACTCAGACCAGTTTGAGCCCAACACTAACCTTGAGACCACACAGATCCTTATTTCATTGCCTCATTCTGATCAAGAATTTTTCATTCTCTTAACATAATTCCTGAGTAGCTTGTGTTATTACTTGAAACAATATTTCCAGGTAAGTCCCCACAAGTGAGCAGGGTTGTGAAGCTAAGTAGCATTTCAGAGCCCTGAACAGAAAATCTACTATTTTGGGTTTCAAAACACTCAAAATATGTCTATCTGTTTAGATGATCAGTGTTTCCACAGGAAGGGGAAATATAGGTCAGGTACTTCAGCGTGTATCACTTCAACATGTCACTTTGTTCCTTATCTTCTAGCATCTACCACCTGAGGCAGCCACTTCACTGTTTAATGGTACTGTAGAGCCATTCCAGAGTGAAGACTGTAGAAGGCTTGCTATAATATCTATATTGTATTATATTCAGATTACAGGTTGTCCTCCCAGTGCCCAAAGAATATTATTGCACAGCTCAAATTTTAACAAAATAAATCCCAGATTTTTGGGTCTCAATAAAAACAAACTCTTTCCTCCCTTTCTCTGTTTTGTCCAATGAGGAAAAACCTCTGCTTGATAGACAAACAACAAACAGAATGAATCTTTTTATCCCTCAAGTAACCCATGAAGAATGACTTTGGCTATTTCTTGTTTAGCAATTAGAACAATGGATTTTGCTTTTATCAATTAGAGCCTAAATACTGCTATTTGTTTATGTAAATATAAAGCCCTCCATGGCATGGGGTTGGATTATTTGAGGCACCACTGCTCCCTGATTATTTCTACCCATCCCATCAGATCCAGCAGGACAGACAGGATAGGGTCCCATCTATTAGAGAGCGTCATCTGGCGGAATCCAGAAAGACAACCTTTTCTGTTGTGGTGCCTGCTCTTTGGAACATCGTTAGATTAGATTAGCTCCAACCTTGATAGTCTTTTGGATGGCTTCAAAGACATAGTTATGCCACTGGGCATGGGATCAGAATATGTGAGAGAGCCCGTGGGATACCTGCATTGATGGTTGAGATGGTTTTTACCTTGGCTGCCAATTTGTATTGTGATATTATTGTTATTTTAATATTTTTAACTGCTGTTCACTGCCCAAAATTATGAGATTGAGATGGGCAGTTCTATAATTCAAAATAAATAAAGAAAAAAAAATTGGACCACAAAAACTTAGATTCTAAGCTTCAATTCACATTATTATTCATAATTATTATTCTGTTATTCTATGCTCTGTCTCTGTATGAACCTTGAATAAATTCTAATGCTTTGTGTTTGTGTGTGAAACAGTTCTCCATGAAGTTTTGGCACCTATCACCACACTGTACAGCAACAATCTGTACAGTATATCAAGGATGAGCCAGTACAAGCTGAAACCCCACTTTCTGCAGCCTTGGAACCCTATCTGACAGTATGCCTAAAGTCTGGAAGTGCTGGGAATCTTCCAACATTTTGAGAAACCTCAAAATAGTTTTACACATTTGCATTTTAAAACCAGCTAATTGAGTTGCATTAGTTGGGACTTAATTTTGCAACATCCAAGACTTTCAATCTAGGGCACTATAATCAGATTGGCAGCAACAGTGTTTAATGGATAATATGTAAACATGGAGCCATAATGACTGGGCTTCATTGGAACAAAAGTATTTGTTGTAAATATCAAGCAGCTGGTATTTGTTGTAAATATCAAGCAGCTGCTTTGAAACATGTGAAACAGTATTTTATTAGGACTGCAAGTTTTGATTGGTTGCTTTGCTTGCTAACAAATGGGGTCTTAATTTTAATTTGTGTAGAAATTACAAGGCCATACAGGTTTATTGGTTCTAGAGTGTTACAAGGATGGGGAATCAACCCAAAAGATTCAAGATAATCCTAACTACCTATATTTGTTAAACTGTCATATGATTTTCCTTTTCTTGCCTTTGCTCTCTTCCTCTCCCTTCATGAAAATTATGCCCCCGTTTTCTGCCACATTTGGCTATCAAAATGAAATGCTTAATACAATATATTACAGGTACACAAATGTGTCTATGAGAGTTTCCATTGCTTTCCGGCAATCTCTACCTCAGATTTTTCAAAGTCAGTTTTGTTGAGGTTTTGACAAAACGCCAAATTAATTTACATTTAATTGTTTGATCATTTAAAACATAGATGACTACTGAACTAACCATTCTTTAATCAAATATTATCATTATAACAAGCAGAACATGGGCAGAGGCCCTGCCCTGGCTTCTAAATAACTGCCCCTCTGTCAGCCTTACCAGGTAGACCAGACAAGAAACACAACCAGATGGGCTACTTCTACTTTATTGTAAAACTACATTAACACTTGTACTTATTGTGAACTACATTAACAGAATCTTGCAAGTCTGAAAGTACAATTCTCCTGCTGTCTCCTTTAAAACCCAAGAAACTAGGGAGGGTTCCTTCTGAGTCTCTTGCCCTGACCACTATCCAGCTGTGGGCTATGCTGTCTCTTATCTGACTGTTCCCTAGGCTGCATCTCTTCGCCCTGTCTCTCAGGGTCTTTCCCACATACCATTACATTCTCCCTCCCCCAGTACAATAGCATTTGAAAAAGTTTCTACCCCTGAACCTGGAGTGAAATAAAAGAGGCAAGCAAACTCAGGTGTAAGAGCTGGAGAAACTGTAAGGACATTCCCATTTCCTCTGGGCCTGATACAGAAATGCTCCTCAGCCCCTTTGGACATGTCATAATGATGGCAGTACATTCCCATTCTTCCAGTGGATCTTGTTTTACTCCTTTTTTTCCACATTCCTCTACCTTCTTCTTGCAAACACGTTCACAATCTATTAATTGCCATTTGGGCTGTCATTAAAAAAAAACTTCCAGATTAAAGAAATAAAGGACCTATGGAAACTTAGATGCATACTGGCACACCTAAAGCCTGGAACTATTACTTTTCCCCTGCCTTACATTGTTGGGCTTGCAATGTTCAGCTGCACCTGCTATCATTTTGAGGTACTGGTTGGCGTTGTGCCTTTGCTCTTCAGGCAGGCTGCCCACTGTTGCCACTGCATGTTTTAGTCCCTGCTCCTGAACATTTTATGCAATTAAACGTTTGAAAATTGTGCCATCCTATTAAGATGTGAAATTGCTCTCAAAAGAAGGAGACCATGACAACAGGCAATGACAATCAGTCTCTCAAAGTGCATAACTAGTTTTCCCTGAATTTGGGCCTAGAAGGAAATGGGCACATCTAACAACACTGGGATGAATATGTTTCATAAGTACAACAACACTTGTTTTTAGTTATTTCTCTACATTCTCCCAAAAGACTAATTTAGCTACCCTATTAGCATATCTATAGTTTTCAAAGATATACAGCTTTTAGACCAAGTTCCTCCAACCTGGGGTTTTGATTACTGAAAATTCCAGCCAGCTTAGACCTCAAGATTTGCTATGGTATATTCCACAGTATTCCGTCTTACAACATGGACTGACTCTACTGTTTCTCTCCATAAATGCTGTTTCTTTCAGATTCAATGAGAAACAGAACAATTCCCTGGTGTTTCTTTTCTTGTGTGATTTCCAGCTAATTTAGACACAGTTGTAAATTCTCATGCAAATCTGTCACTCTGTACAAAATTTCCAGTTAAGAATTTTGATTAAGTTCTGGGAAGGAACACCAAAATACCAAACCGATTTGAGTTTCTGTATGTCTGTGCAAGCTCTGAAAGCTCTTACATTATTAAAATTAACATCCAGGCAGACTT